CTTCTTCGGTCCACCATGGTGGGTGAGTACGATCCATTTCTATATATATATATATATGTATATATGTATGTGTGTGTGTGTGTATTTAATGCGCTGGTGGTTGTGTATAATCCTTCTGCTAGCTTTCTTTGAAGTGTTTCCCGGGATCTGTGTGTTTCTGTCCTTTTTCTAGGGTAGGTCCTCGGTGAGCACCCTCTCTGCTGGATTCAGAAATCTGGTGCTCGACTTGCAGTGTTTACTTCACTCGTCGATATGATGTCCAGCCGGTATGATAGCATGGTTTCGGCTTCATGCTTCCTGGATCATGCGGCCAGGTCACAGGCTTCTGCGGGAGCCTTCCTGATCATCAGGCCCCCGGCACGGCACTGCAGAATTTCCTGGATGTCCGGGCCGGGCTTATGCTTTTAGGCTGCCCTGTCTGGTCGCCCTGAGGGGCCTCCCGATCACCAGGATATCCCCTTTTGCTGAGGCATCGAGCAGGAAGTATAGGTGGCATTTGCGAGAACCTTCTTGTGTAATGCTGTCTCAGGCAGTGCTCCCCTCGCCTTAGAGGGTTGTATTTGAGCTTGCCTCTCCCGTTTGGCTCAGTACTTCCGGGTATCTGTGAACAGATGCTTGGAAAACTCTTAAATCCATACTATGGTAAGTGCGCACGTTAAACTTTGCGCACTTTCTAAAATCCATATAGTGGTAAGTGTGCACGTTATGCTTTGCGCACTTTTCTGAAATCCTGTATGGTAAGGGTTACGCGTTATTAGCCTCGTTCCCTTTCTCTGAGTTGGTTTAGACCCCGGTACCTTGGGCTCCACTCAACCAGTGTGTCTCTGTCGATACACTTTGGAAGCATCGCTCCCTCACCATTGAGGGTTATTATGAGCATGGTGCTTTCTTTTGAGCGTTTGAATTCTCTCCCTTCTGAGGAGTTGGATTCCTCGCTCCGTGGGCTGTTCTCGTGGTAGTGTTTAGCAGTGCTCCCCTTTTAACAAAAGGGTTACCTATGAGCACGCTACTCCTTTCTGAATTCGGAGTTCTCCTCTCACGTGAGAGTTGAGTTCTCTATTTTCCCAGAGCTTGCAGTACGCTTACCCTTCTGATCTCTAACGTTTGTGCTGTAGGTCGAGCCCCTCTCGTTGAGAGCTGGGTGTTTGCTCCCTCAGCTAGAGATTTACTGCTAGCAATTCCAGCAGTATACCTTAGATCGAGTTGATGTTGAGTTGAGTTGACACTCAAACATAGTGTTTTGGGATGCACCATTTCCATCTATGGGCTGCTCTTTCAGAGTACCACGAGGGCCCCTTAGAACGGTTTTTAAATCCATGTTATGGTAAGTGTGCACGTTAGTCTTTGTACACTTTCTAAAATCCACACTGTGGTAAGTTCGCACGCTAGTACTTTGCGTTCTTTCTAAAATCCTGGGTTTTTTTTCAATGTATGCTTCAGACGGTGGCGTGGGTATACCGTTCCCCATAGCGACCCCTAGAGGACGCAGTTCGAAGTTCCCTTGAACGGGAACGTCTCAGGTTACGTATGTAGCCATGGTTCCCTGAGTAGGGAACGAGACACTGCGTCCTCTAGGTTTCTTGCCATGCTTCGGACTCAAGCTTCAGACGAAGAAGTGGATCATGTGTTCTCCCGGTGCCTATTTATACTATAGTCGCACCGGTAGTGACGTCATGGCTGTCGCCGGCAAACGTGTTGTTGGTGTTTTTTCAATGTATGCTTCAGACACGGGTCACGACGAGGCGTTCCCCATAGCGACCCCTAGAGGACGCAGTGTCTCGTTCCCTACTCAGGGAACCATGGTTACATACGTAACCTGAGACGATTTTTCTCAATTCAGTTGATAGTTTTTCATTATGTAAAAGTTTCTTCTTCCGAGGTATTTTTACACTGATTTAGCATTTTTTCCCAGGTATTATAGTGATTTAATTTGAATGAACAAAATTTATCAGACATCATATTTGACATTAATGATAGAATTTATGGAAAAGATATAACCTCTCAGTCATTTGGTAGATGTTTTGGCACATATATTTTCATACATTAGCCTACACTAAAAACAGTCATTTTACTCAGACAAGAATCACATATATAATCACGCAAGTTTTGTCAAATAATTGTTAGAGTTTCTAGGTGGAACACTTTTGGCCTGATGAGTGGCGTTTGGCTAGACTGATGGACATATTTTGTTTGGCTGGATTCCCAGCCTTTTTTCTTGCATCATCTTCTTCCATTCTCCAAAGTTCCCGCTTTTTTCTTTCCGCCTCCTGCTCAGTTCTGCCGTATATCACCAGCTCTCTCTCCTTCTGTGCAATGTTCTCCTTTCTCTTCTCTAAAATCTTCTCCATTTTCTTCCTGATCTTCCTCTCTGAGGCCGGATAAAAAGACAACACGTAGCAGCTCTTTCCATTGATGGCCACGAGGGTCTCGACTTTCTTCAAGAGTTCTGTCACGGGCTCATAGTTTGTCGTGTCTTTGTTATTGAAGAACAGGAACCCACCGCTGCACTTATGGATGAAACTGCGGAGCTCCTTGTCTGAGCACGCGATGACGTCATTTGGCGCCTTTCCCTCCAAACGATCTCCGTGAGTGAACACGATGATGGTGTACTTCCAGATACTCTCCCCAAACATGCTCTCGATGAGTTTATGCATGCTTTTGTCATCATTAGTTAAGTTCCCAACAGGCATAACCAGCAGAAACACGTGTGGTCCTGGAGTATACAGAGAGATGGACTTTAGGATCTCTCGGGTCACTTCCCTCTCCGTATGGCTGATCCTGTTCAGACCCGGCGTGTCGATTATGGCCACGGTCCGGCCGTTGATGTTCCCAGATGCTCTTTCACAGAACTGTGTGACTCTGCTCAGCTGCATGTCTGATTTAAAAGCATTGCACCTGAGGATGGTGTTTCCGGTGGAGCTTTTTCCAGACCCTCTCGCACCAAGTAACATGATGCGCAATTCCTCTGCCACAATCATGAAATATCAAGGTTTTAATCACAGAAAGAGTTTAAGATCACTGTTTAACCCTTATAGTCTGTCCATGTTCATTTTAATAACTTGAAAAATTTAATTAAAATGTAAGTATCAGGGTGACACTACATGAAGTTTCCAAAATGCTTTAGTCATCCTTCATGACAATGTTAAATTACATATTTAATGGGAAAAAAATAATTTTTGTTCTTTTTGGGGTATTTTCCCTGGTGGTCCTGCCTACAAAAAAAAAAAATTCAAAATATTGGATTCAATACTTTTCTCGACTTGTTTTCTTTCAGTTAGCACAGGTTTTGTATTTTGTTTTTGGAAGTGATTAATTGCAGGCCTAACTGACCAGAGCTTATGCACAAGTTTTTGAGTGAACATTGCCAAAATTACCCACAAATAATGTTTTTTTTTTTTTCAGGTGCATAAGCTCAGATCAGTGAGCCCTATATGACCAATCATTTAAAAAAAAAATATATATATATATATATATATATATATATATATATATAAAACCTGTGCTAATTGAAAGAAAACAAGTTGACAAAAATTTGAATCTAAGATTTGCTGACAGTATAGCATAATGAGAGATTTACGAGCAATTTTTAAAAGGCTGGTCATTTTTGGAACTGGAACACCAAATTAGTTACAGGATTTTCTGCACAGCACAAGGGTTAACAAAAAGTTTAGATCTTTAAGAAAAATGTGGATGCCATAAAATATCTCACCATGTTCATTTGTTGATTCAGTTAAATTGGTTTCCTCTACGTTTGGCACATTTTCATACAATATTTCATGTGTTGCATCTGTGAAAAAAAGTTACTGCTTGAGTCTAAATAAGACATTTTATATTGACAGGCTATTTGCTGTGTAATCTTTAAGAAATATTAATGAAAAAAACATTGATCTTCCTTATCTGATAGTCATTGACAGTTAAAATGTTGTATTGAATAGTTAGTATAATAATGTCATTAGAGATGTCATAAGATGTTGTAAACAGATTGTTTTTTGCTATTCATTGTGACTTACAGCTGGTTGATGAATCCAATGCAGAATCATTCTCATCTTCCTCTGAGTCCATATTATCATGAAGAGTCATTATTTTCTGATGTAAAAATAAGAGAATTGCAAGCATCAAACTGCAGAATGTCATTCTCCTATTCAGTATTTTTGTCTTGTTTTCCGGTAAAATATTATTGCACTAATCTCATTTTAAGCATAAACCTCAATAACATTTGTAAGATGCTTAAAACAAGCAAAAGGTCCCTGATCTGCTATTTATGAAAAGTTTAGTTTCACTCTGCTTATTCTGCATCATAAAAGTATAACATCAAGTAGAAAAGAAAATTACTTACCACAGTTGATGAAGTTTAGAGATCAGCACTGACACACTTGCATATGAAGAGTCTCTAAGAAATATGCTGCTTTCTTCTGTGCAATGAAGAGTATTTCTGTTTGAAGGTAGGTGTAATGTAATCCACACAGGTAGCCTGTCGACTTCAGGTAGAGGGCTGGTCTTGTTGAAAGATGCGATCACTTCATTCGACAAGGGTTTCATTGAGGCACAGGACTAGTTTGACATGTTAGTCAAGTATATAGAGTTTGTTTGGCATGTCCTTTTCTGTTCCAGTGAAAAATGCCCCTCCAGCCTTGAAAGTGGGGGTTAGTTTTCAAACTGAGTAATAGAGTAGATTAGGCTGACAACATTTGAACACACACCTGGAAATAATGATACATGTGAACCAGTCAAGACACTTTTAAAGGCAGGGTATGTGATTTTTCAAAAACACTTTAGAAAACTGATTCGGGCCGAATAGCAAAACAAACTTGTAGCCAATCAGCAATAAGGGACGTGTCTACTCGTGATGTGTAGGAGAGAGCTTTCAGTGCATGGGACGGACATTAGCCGAGCCGAGCGACAGAAAGATAGAGATGGCGGATAAAAATGGCGTGTTTGTTTTGGTGATTTCAAATATCAACATTGGCTACCAGAAATCACTTACTCTGCCTTTAATTTCACTGTAGTTTGAGCTGTGGCTACATTTCACAATATCTGTTATCTAATATTCTTTAACAGTTATTGTGACCATGCCTTATAGGGCCTATAATAAACAAATTCTTGGTTTCCTTTTTTTGTCTTATTATTTCTTTGAAAAATAAAGCATTTAATCATTGTTAACATGATTATTAATTTATGTATTTAAATTTTTGCACTGGCAGATGGTACATCTTACTGTCTTTTGCTTTAGTACATAAACTGAACTTCATAACGCATATATATTGTAGCATGTTTAAAATGTTGTTGTGTTATAGATAACAATGTGCTTAATGTTAGTGTTGCACTTTATTCATTTTTGTGTTGCGAACTGTTATTGGATGTTCGAGTTGGATGTGAAAAGAGGCTCCGCCCCTGTGTGTGTGTAAGGGGAAACAGAGAAGGAGGGGAGTAAAAGAGTGCCTCGCTGGTTCAAGTGCAGTTCTCTTAGAAGTCGGGGTGTGTACGGCGTGGGTTGTGGCCGACAACAGCCCAAATAAACACCCCTTGTACATCAAAACGCCTCGTCCTTTTCTGAGAACGATACAATATATACAATAAAGCAGGCCAGTCTGAGTATTTTTGTATGATTGTTTTATAACGATTTGAAAGAGAAACCTGTTTAATCATATCTGAGACAGTCATATTTCCCCTATTAAATGTCCATTCAGCGTAAATAAACAGTATATTTTCGCTTACAGTTCCCCTTTATTCAAAGCTGTGGGAGCGGTTAACGTTTCTGATTGGCTACAGACCTCGAGGTCAAGTGCAACTTTTCTCCAATCATCGTCGAGGAAACTTCTACAAGCGTTTCCATTGGCTAAATCGGACCCGGAAGTGGACGTTGACAGGGAAATCTCTTCTCTGGAGCTCTGTATGGGCTCTAAGCAACGAGAATTGGAATGTATTTCCGCTCATACTTTATACCGGCAAGGGCGCTTCCGGTTTGTATGGTAACTAAGAGAAACCATCAGCTGTGTGGGAGTCACGCCCCCTCACTAAAACAACAAAGAAAACGTCGTAGTTTTATACCGTTTTAAATCATTACTCAGAAATAATATTATTTGCTTTTTAGCTAAATAAAATAAAGAAAGTCACTTTGCAATTGCACCTTAGAGTTTCCGAGGATGGGCTCTAAAGATTTGAAACTCCTGGATGTGTTTTCATACGAGAGTCTCGTGCATGCAGTCGCCGGTGCGATGGTAAAAACACAGCTTTTCATCTCAACTGTACGGTTTTTACATGATTTACAGCTTTTGAATGATGATACATGTACGCACATTTATCTACTTTCCTGACCTCTACCTGCTGCGTGACAAAATTAAAAACAAATCAAGAAGAAATGAAATAAAATGTGGCTTTCTTATTTGCTTTGTACCTTTAAAGTCAGCATGTTATATATGACAAAAAAATAATATTATTATTAAGATATATAGTAGTATTTTATATAGTAATATGCAAGATAATATTTCGTTTCATTTCATATTTTTAATTTACTATTTAAATTTTAATTATAGTAATAACTTTTATTATTAGAAAAATATGTTATTATGCTATAATACCAAATATAATATAATGTAATATAATTAATATTATATTATTGTAATATAATGTTATGTTTTATATTATATTATATAGTATAGTATAGTATAGTATAATATCTATCTATCTATCTATCTATCTATCTATCTATCCTAAGGATAATCCCTTGAGTATATTAAAATCTGTTTATTTAAAGTGATTTATTTGTTTGTTTGTAGGGCAGTGTAACAGCAATGGCTGTTTTCTTTCCTCTTGACACAGCCCGGCTCAGGCTGCAAGGTAAAAAGGGAAACACATGAGTTTAATTTCCTGCTGACTTGACTTTTGTTCGTGTTTTAAAATACGTGACCCATTTCTTTCTGTTTCTGTGCAGTTGATGACAAGCGGAAAGCCAAATCTACCCCAGCCATTCTGTCTGAGATCATCAAGGAGGAGGGTCTGTAAGTTATTTCACATGCATCTCTTTGTTTTGTGTTATTATCTTTTTCATTTCAGGTTGCAAGCATAACCATGCTTTTTTTTTTTTTTTTACTCTCTCTCTCCAGGTTAGCTCCATATAGAGGCTGGTTTCCAGTGATCTGCAGCCTTTGTTGCTCAAACTTCGTCTACTTCTATTGCTTCCATAGTCTGAAGGCCACCTGGCTGCAAGGTCAGAGGTCAACACCAGGACGAGACCTCATTTTTGGCATTGCTGCAGGTTTGCTTTTTTCAAAAACATGAAATGATCAAAAATGCAATAGTTTCTGTCGTACACTTCCGTTCAAAAGTTTGGGGTCAGTAAGATTTTTAATGTTTTTTAATGGAGTCTCTTATGCTCATCAAGGCTGTATTTATTTAATCAAAAATACAGAAGAACAGTAATATTGTGGAATTATAACATTATTGCAATTTCTAAAATTGGTTTCTTATTTTAATATACTTAAAATAATAATAATTTATTTCTGACGCAGCACTGAATTTTCAGCATCATTACTCCAGTCTTCAGTGTCACATGATCCTTCAGAAATCATTCTAATATGCTGATTTGTTATCACTGTTGTGCTGCTTAATATGTTTTTTTGGAACCTGTGATACATTTTTCTTTGATTCTTTGATGAATAAAAAGTTAAAAAGAACAGTGTTTATTCAAAATAGAAATATTTTCTAACAATATAAGTCTTTACTATCACTTTTTATCCATTTAACACATCCTTGCTGAATAAAAGTATGAATATTTTTTTTGGGACCCGTGATATTTTTTTTCAGGATTCTTTGATGAACAAAAAGTTAAAAAGAACAGTGTTTATTCAAAATAGAAATTTTGTGTTACAATATACAGTGGTATTCAAAAGTTTGGGGTCAGTAAATTTTTCTTTCTTTCTTTCTTTTTTTAAAGAAATTAAACAGCACAACTGTTTCCAACATTGATTATAAATCAGCATATTAGACCGATTTCTGAAGGATCATGTGGGACTGAAGTTATTTTAAATTGCAATAATATTTATTTTTCTGTATTTTTGATCAAATAGATACAGCCTTGTTGAGCATAAGAAACTTCTTTAAAAAACATTTAAAAATCTTACTGATCCCAGACTTTTGAATGGCAGTGTATATATTTTGTGCAACCAGTATTTAAACAGAAATGTATGAATGTATTTTTGGTGCTTCCCTTGTGGGGAAGCACAATTTAGCTTTATATTACTTCGTTTCTTCTTTTCATTTCGAGTTATCTTCGTTTCGAACAATAATATTGTGAATTATTAAACGGTTTTGCTGCTTATTTATACAGAGACCTGAATGATTTTTATTTTTTTTTTTATTTTTATTTTTTTGTGGTAATCATTATTGGGTAGTACCATTCAGAAGTTTGGGGTAAAATAAAAAAAAAAAGAAAAAGAAATTAATACATTTATTTAGCAATGATGCATTCAATTGATCCAAAGTGAATCCTTTAAAAAAATGTATCATGATTTCCACAAAAATACTAAGCAGCAAAAACATTTTTAGAATTTTTTCAACATTAGCAATAATAAAAAAACATTATTAAAGGGATACTTCACCCCAAAATGAAAGTTTGATTTACTTGATTTACTTTTTTTTGTTTTTTTAATCTGTTGAACACAAAAGAAGATATTTTGAAGAATGTTGGTAACCAAGCAGCTGTTGGTCCCCATTGACTTCCATAGTATTTTTTTCCATACTATGGAAGTCAATGGCTACCAGCAACTGTTCGGTTACCTACATTCTTATCAAAACATCTTCATATGTTCTAAACCTTTCTGTCTTCCTTCAGGTGTAGTGAATGTTCTTGTGACCACTCCGCTCTGGGTAGTCAATACCAGACTGAAACTGCAGGGGGCGAAATTCAGAAATGAAGACATACAGCCCACACACTACAACGGAATTATTGGTCATTTTAAAAGACATCATACATGATCTTCATTTCATTGCCTTTAATTCAAATGTGTGTCCAGTGATGATATAAGGTGATCCGTCTCTCTTTAGATGCGTTTGTACAGATCATGCAGCGGGAAGGAGTGGGTGCGTTATGGAACGGGACGTTTCCCTCCCTGCTGCTGGTGCTCAATCCAGCCGTGCAGTTCATGATCTACGAGGGTCTGAAGAGGCAGCTCATGAGGGGAGTCGACAGAGAGGTCAGAGCAGGCTGCTGATCCCAGAACAGTTTTTATTGTTTATAATTGACTCAATTTCATTGTAAGAAACTTTTACCATATTAAAGCTAATACAGTAATGTAAAAACTTTGAATCATCTCTCTGCATACTCAATCATGACAACATATAAATAAACAGATGAGTCTATTCACAAGATCTCTGTTGCCTGGGAAACAGTAACTACAGCATTTCTGATATTAAAAA